GACAGCAGTGCCAGTGATGCCCATGTCCTGGGATGAATTGAAATAAACAATTTGCTTTTACAATAATGTACTTAATTTGGTCAGATTTAAACTGGTATCTTACATGACCCCTTGAGGTGGGGAGAGGGTAGAGTGTTCACCTTTTATACCACTGGTTAGTTTTGTACAGTCTTCAGGTTTTATAGTTCCTCATGGGCTGTAGTGGTTTGAGAAGGTGGCTCACAAGCTTCTCCAATAACTGTGGATGGCAATGACCACTTGGCTAAGCAGCAACACCCACATCTTGTGAATGAATTTGAGAAAAAAAAGGCGCATGTAGTGAGGAAATGGGATAACCACAGCAATTCTGAGATCAGTTATTGCAAAATCCCCCCCTCTGCATCCTGGCCAAGTTAGTTCTGCGAATTCCTCACACAGCAGTTGCTGTTGTGAAACCACAAGAAAGAGTAGTCAACTGCGACCTTTTATAAATGAAATGCAATGATAATTTAAGGATGACACATGAACAAACCTTCAGAAATGTCTCCAACCAGAAGCTGCATGGTGCAGAGCCAATTTACTTGCCTTCATTGAATTTTTCTGCAGTTTGCTTAACCCACTGACCTGGTCAGCAGCTGAGAGTGGGATTTAAGTGGCATTTCTGTGGGAATGGCTCTGGTAGTGAGGCAAAGGTTGCTGGGACTGAAAGGACATAGCATAAGGTTAAGACTTAAGGCTTTGTTATTGACCTGGCAGAGCACTGTACCCTCCAAGAAAACCTATAGCTCACTCTGAGACTTGTCAACTCAGGCATTTTCTCTCCCATGAGCAGGTGCAGCCTATCTCTGCTCTCTTGCTCAGACTTGGACTCAAATGGCAGATCAGGATCTTCCATACAATCCCCATGATGCAGAAAGAGGCCATTCTGTCCATTTGAGTCTGTACCGACCCTCTGAAGGACATCCCACCCAGACTTCACCTCAACCCTGTGTCTCCACATAAGGTTTTTACATGGCTAACGCTCCTCACCAGCACATACCTGGACACTCTGGGCAATTTTTAACATGGCCAATCTGCCTAACCTGCACCTCTTTGGACTGTGGGAGGAATCTTCTGCAGATATGGGGAGAATGTGCAAACTCCACACAGACAGTCGCCCGAGGGTGGAATTGAACCCAGGTCCCTGGTGCTGTGAATCAGCAGCGCTAACCATCGAGCCACCGGGATGCCCCGAGACATCCCATCTCGCAGACTAAGTGGCTGCCCTGTCTCATTACCACTGAGGTTGTTTGGGGAGAGTTGAAAAATAGGGTCCCCCATGTACCCACCAAAATTTGTAAGATGATGTTTGCATCTTGCAATTTCTTTACTTGGTTTATCAGTATTGAGCTGTACGAACATAAGATTTGAACGTCATTGTAGATGGTGTTGGTTTGAGCTGGACTGACCACATTGTGCTGACTGCCTGCCTGATAGTTCTGGTACTCTTTGATTTAATGTTTTGTTCTTCCCCTCAACGAGATTTACGCTGGCACTGCTGACATTGCCCATGGCCTAATGTCCTCAACACATTGGTTTACAGGGCCATTTTTCAAGGCCAGTTAAGAAAAGAGGCTTGCATTTATATGGCACCTTTCACTGCCTTGTGATGTCTCAAAATGCTCGAAAGCCACTGAAATTCTTCAGAAGTGTGGCATTGTAAGCTCCCAAAAAGAGTAATGCAATAATGGCCGAGTAATGGTTGCATGTATGTAATATTCAGCGACAGCTCATACACTGCAGTGGTTTGGCATGCTCATACAACATTGGCCTATCTTCCGTCATGTGAAATGTCAATTGCCTTCCATTTGTCAGTCACTGGATCCTTGACCGGTTTCCAATTTGTACTTTAAATACCTTTCAGTCTTCGTACTGAATCTGTCAATATAGCATCTCCAACCTACCTCGGCTATCCTTTGGCCACTGTTATGACTGAAATTAAGTATTTGTTT